GCCGTTAGTATGCTTAATATGCATGCATACAATCAACACACATCGGGAATAGTGCTATGTAAAGAAAGCGGAACGGGGTAGAGGAAATCACCGAGTATCCCGACCGAGGGGTGTTTCATATGTTGCATCCGTGCATCCATGTCACAAAAGCTTCCTTCGTTTACTGGTTCGGAGTGGGGGAATGGGATAGAATACACTATAAGCTTATGTGAAGTCCAATTCGGAAATGACCAAGTCCGATGAATCGCCACGTAATTTTCCATTCATTGCGCGAAACCGCGTCTGTACAGGAAATCCATCACACGTTAGGGGGCCGGCAAATCCTAGGCCTAAAGTGGGCAGGTTCGATGTCAAATCATTGGTCAGTTGTTCGGTGGACGGAGTGGACTTCGAGTTATGTTCGGCGACAGACTGGATGGCCAATTTGGAACGGGAGGTGGATGATCGAAGAAAATCGTTCCGCAACAGAATACAAAACAGAACTGGGTTGAGCAAGTTCATGATCAGCATACTGGCACATAACAGAGCAAAATAGAACGGAGTCATCCGATGAGGTTCTATGTACATTCCGTAAGTGATTCGGAATAGGGCAAATCCGCGACATCCGGCAAACGTGAGCAAGTTTAGCACCGCATTGAATCGATATGCGGAATTGGTGAATGGGACTTTGTGCATTTGCATTAGTTTTCGTGTATGCAAGAATATACTATTCACTTCCGCCAACAAAGCTACGATCGTGTAGGCAATGTATTTCACGGTGATAATATTGTAAATGAAGGCACTCAGCACCTGCAAATAATAGAGGAAACAAAACACAATATATTTGAATTAAACAAGAATCTGCAAACACTGTAATATGTAACTAAGGGGAAGAAAATGTTCCCGTGCAATTTTATGACCGTTTAGCATCCGAATAGTAACACAAACCTAGAACTCCAACAAAGTGTCCTTTGAAACTGCAAACAAAAATCAACGCATTATTTGGTCTCCAATATTGCTGAATATTACATGATAAACACTATTACTAATGTTTCAATGCATGAGAGCAAATGGAACGGAGCCGACTAACACAGTCAACATAGAGCACACAGAATGGTTGCGGACACATTTATGCTACCTATTAGGCTATAGAGGTCGTCAGTTAGTTGACTCACTGCTTCTCTTTTCAGACCCACCGTACTGATTTCCCGTGGCAGCCGTTGTTAGACAGANNNNATGGCTTCTTGTGTGTGGCAAGCAAGCAGAAGAGGAAACAATGATAATATGACAGTGATTTTGAAGGGCAACAAAAATACTGCGGTCGGCTAGTTGCAACGTCACAGTAAATTTAGTTAACTGAGTGCATGGTTTTTCGGATAGCAAACCGTCTCATTTGCTCCTCTGAAGAGCAGAACTGTAAACTGACGAGCGCGTACTCAGAGCACGGATAGAACGGCCACCAATTTGCAGCGCCTGATATCACCGATCAGCCGGTAACAGATCAACGAAAGTGCTCAAGGATGCAGTTCAAGTCTCACTTAAACCCTTTACCCTAAAAAGACTGCACCTTGACGATGTGTGAAGGCTTGTGTACCTCCAATACCCTACAAGCTACACAGGATGGCTTTTCACAGCTGCAGATCCAATCATGCCTCAAATGTTCAGTAGATAGAGGTCATACAACGCTCTCACAAGACCAGTTGCTTGGCCACCTGGCTTCCTTCACTATCCACCCTAGTCACTCCAGTCACTCTGGCAAAGAAAGAAACACAACAAGGAACAGCTCACCAATCAAAAATCCCCTAATAGATGAACGTAGAAGCAGGATACCTGAAGCTCTCCCCCAAAGGTGGGAGAAGTTTTCGAACTTCATTGGACCGCTATCACACGCTCAAGCTGGGCAGAAAACAGCCAATAAGGTGCTGTCTTGTCCATGTTCCGCCTCTCTCATGTGGTTCATGAGGCTAAGGGCCGATCCCGAACAGCGGACCGTCAACCAATGAACCAGCGAACACACTGAATCGAAATCAAAAGGCCTTGCGTGACAGCTCCCTAGAAATTCCTACATGGGTGCTCTAGTCACGCTCCGGCGTTGGACCTACGCCCCACTCCCTTGTTAGTCAAACTTTTGTTTCGAAGGCTCTGGCCAGAGTTCCCAAAGAAAAAGGCCCTCCTCGGTGTGGGATACCGCGAAGTAGGTCGTGACCGAAAGTTTCAGGCACCCATGTGGGAAATCGTCTTTCTGATTTACACAGTTTTTTATCTCACTCCCACCCTGATACAGATTTTAACACTCCAATCTTCGCTTCACTCCTTCATCCAAATGGGAAGCCATGACGCAGCAACTAAGACCACTGTAGGAAAATGCATGGGTAATGGTTGTAAGAACTGAGACTGAATGAAAAACGCTGGGCGAATAAATGTTAAGTGACTTTCCCGAACTAATATCATGACCACAGGTTTCATGACTGATTCTCAAATACTCTCCCAAGGCAACAAATCACCCCACTGATAATACGAAAATCGAGAAAATTCAAGTTATAGTGGATATCTATGAGTGTCTAGTTTGTTTGACATATGAAAGTAACGAGAAAGCGAAAAGAAGCTCACATACTCCGGAAAAGGTCATGGGCGAGAGAAAAAACGGTGACTAATCTGCAGTCTGAAGCAAAAATATGCGCATACATGCAAAGAAGAGAACGGGATGGAGGATGAAAATATGGCAACAGGATGTAGAAGTCCCGCATCAAATTTAAACCATGACCATAGAAAGAGTTGAATAAAATACAAGCATACCCTTTGGCTACCGCGGGTTCTCCAAACTTTTTGAAAACGAAAAAGGGGACCACGCAAGTCGAGAGACCAAGCGAACAATAGGAATCAAAAACATAGTTGAAACAGAAGTTTCGAATACAAAGTGTACGGTAAAAGCAAGGCAAAAACCCCCTGTGTGAGGAGACCAATAAACATCAATCTGGTCAGCCCAAATGCGACTGCTGATTGTGACGGACCCCACAACAAGTCGAAACTATCAATCATTAAAGAAAGCGAGAATACTGGCAATCTGATGTGAGCCGGACGGAAATAAACTAGCCCTAAGAAAGTTCTGTTACAACCGTGAATCGAGAGGGAGCATGTCTTTGCAGAAGAGGAAACATTAATTGCAGAACATCCGAGTCTTGAACAAAATACGGGAAAAAAGAAGCATGGCCTACCTGATTCAGTGAAAAGCAGACCGATAGTTTTACACAGAATCAGGACAGACAACAAGGCAGACAGTGTCTGAGGTTTAGCAAGATTACGAAAGGAAAACACACGATGTTGCATAAACTGAATAGCGATAATGTACAATGCATGACACTTAGTCTTACGTTATTGTACAGAAAAGAAATGACAGTGCAAAGCAAGGCGTGGCGTGAGAAAAAACTGGAACTGAAATGAGAAAGGAGGAACAAAAATATAAAAAAGAGTTGGAGATAAATCGTGTATTAATTAACAATGGTGCACACAATTCGAATGGGAGAAAGCACGTCGCTGTATATTATACAATCACTCTGTGAGATACTCTGGTGAGTGAATCTTTGAACGCGGTAGATATTAATCTAAAAAGGCGCCATAGTGAGGCCAATTCGGAAGAAATAGGATGTGTTTCATCCGGTTAGCGGTGCATCTCTGGAAGAGGAAATGGAAAAATACAGTATTCTTGTGCCCAAAGTCGAAGAGCATTTGAAAAACATCCGAGATTGTGTTCAAGGTGCTGGGAAGCTGTCTGTGGAAGATTATTCTGGCTAGATGAAGAACCCTCAAATCTGTCACAGATACAGCCCCAATCTCAATGGATCAAACCACGTGGGCAGTGGGTGATGATGACATGAAAGTCGTGGGATAGTCAGTGTTTTACTGCATTTCCGACTGAGTGAGCGAAAAATTTAACAGCTCCATATCGTGAATAGAACAATAAATACATCGCAGTTGGATGCACGAGAGGCAGTCGGAGGTATTTCGGGCCGTTA